GGTTTTTATAAGAGAGTTTATCAGAGAGTTTTACTGATGAAAAGAACAGAAAATAGTTGTTAAATTGTTAATTATTACCTCTGAGTAGTGGGACCAGGATAGCCTCTTTTGCCCCTTTTTTCATACTTATTATATTAAATACACGTTATTTTTCATCTGAGAAAAGCATTTTAAGATGTGTAGTACCACACATTGGAGAAAATACACGATTATATACAGAAACAAAAAACTAGGAGACACCACAGCACCGTCACGCAATGTAGAACGGGCAATCCTGAATAACACCGCACAGTTATATAAGGACCCACAAAGTAAGAGCACCTGCTGTAACAGGACGCGGCCCCCTTCTATTTGTCAGCAGTGTCTTCAGGGCTGAGGCAGTTCTGAGCATGGCCAGTGTCAGTGCTGGTGTCTGGATGGATGCCACTGGAGGTGAGGGCACCTGCAAGCCGAGAGGAAGAACAGAAATCATCCTCTGCTTTTTCTTTCTTGTTTCTTTGTTACTGTAAAAGAGAGGCGTAAATAAGATAAACTGTGTATCTTCCCTACAGAAATTTCAGTAATGAAACCATTCTTAAAATTTTCACAGCTTATATTCTGCCTATAACTGTCTTTTCAACAAAGCATCATATTTATTAAATGTTAATTATCTCAGTTAATTAACTCCCTGTTGAAACCTTCTATTAAAGAATATGAAATGCACTACATAAAAGCGCCTGTAGTGATTACCTTAGCTGTCTTGACGGCAGTGCAGTCGGCCCGCACCATCCCGTTGCCCTGAGCTCCTGATGCTGCTAAGAGAGCACGCTGCTGCCTCAGATGGAGAGAAACTGTGAAAGCATTCTCTGAAATCTACTGCACTGAGAAAACATAACTGATAAATCCCAGGCTCCTTGGAGGCTGTCATTTTCTCTTTCTATCCAAACACCGTCAATGAGCAGAACCACCCCATTCCCGAGCCATGGGACTCATGTGGGAAGGAGTTTTGGAGAAATTTCCAGGTATAAAATATAACCAACTATATGTAGAACTCTGACAAATTAAAGATGAAGTACTCTGACTTTGGAAGACACTCAAAATATTCTCCTAAGCCTTAGTAGCTGGAAAGGCTGGGCTTCTTCTAAGCCACTTATTTATTTCAATGCCAGTGAGCATCTCCCACAAGCCCTGCTTCCCTGTGTCTGCTGGGAGTCTCAGGCACACTCTTGCTGTCCATCTTATAAGTCACAAGGCAGAGGCGAGTGTCTCACGCCTGCAATCCTCACACAGGCTCGCTTCCTAGCCTCACTGTCTGATCTTGGCCCCATTTTCTCATCTGTTTATCTGGTATCTGTTCTTCTGTAAGCTGCCTGAAGTGCTACTTAGAACAATTCAGAAGAATGAGTGGGTAGAGAAATGGACAGATGGACAGGTGAGAGATGGGCAGATAGACAGAGAGACTCCAAGAAAAGGGAACAAAGAAAATTTCTTATAAAAAACCCTCTTCTATCAGGGAAGAAAACCAGCACAGAGAAGTGTGAAGAGGCAGGTAGTTTAGGGCTGTTTTCTGGATTCCATGAAAAGTCACATCAAGAGATGAGAGGGTAGAACTATAAATAATAAAAGAAAATAAGCACGCATGCTTGAAACATATATCTACAATATGCACTTTCTAAAGAATAGATTCAAATAGAAGAGCCCAATAACACAATCATCGGGTATTTACAGAATTAAAAATACCACCTCCAAACCACAAGTCATCTTTTTGGAACACTGAGAGTCTTCACGGGGCGGTCATAAAGCCGTCACCGCAAAAGCTGTGCAATTCTGCACTTACGAGGAATGAGCAGCTGTGCTCGGGCTGCGCACGTGCGTCATTTACACCCCACAGCACCTCTACGGGGGGGGGGACGCCTAGCGAGCCCCGTCTCTGCAGGACAGAAAACAAGTCCGGGAGAGGCTAAGCTGACCTACCAGTTCTCCATCTCACAGGACTGGTCACTCCAGAGCAGGACTCGAACACGGACCCACGTTTATAACCACGGTACTACCGTGTTCTATGTGCTTTTTGTGTGTATAATACATTTGCTTCTGACGTGAAAGGATATTTAATAAATGTTCGGTTGTCTTGTCTACCTCATTAGCTCACAATCAATCTTTATACTGTTGAATTGTGCTCTTTTCCCCTGGAGAAAGGAACGGAAAGAGCAGGGGTCAGAATGAGGTGGGGCTCCATTCTTTATCTGGTACCTCATCTCATCCAAATCCTCAAAGAGGGAGAACGAGCAAATGTTCTCTTCATCTTTTAAAGAGAGGTCTCCACTGATGGTGACTTACTCAACTCCAAAACCAAGGCTGGGGGAAGGGCACATGCAGCAACAAGAGCAGTATCATCTGCAGGAAGGTGGAAAGAACTCATGGGAGGGCTCAGGGGGTCAGCCTGATTTAATTTCAATCAATAAAAGAATAACACACTCTGAAAATACTAGCATGCAATGGATTTGCTCCTTCTTGTCATCTAGCAAGTTTCCACAGCCCACATGTAACATTGTCGTGAACCAGTGAAAGGAAGAGTTTACAGACAGGGAAAATCAATGCCACAGGCAGGCTGAAAACCAGGCTGGAGGAAAGGAAGAGAAAGGGCATAGTTAAGAAGAGGGGAAAGGCTGGGAAAAAGACATCATCACAAGGACTCTCAAACATCGTTCAACAATCATATTATCATTCATTCAAGAGAGAGTTACTTAGATGCTATTTTGTGCAAGACTGTACAGAGGGCAAAGCAAGAGTGCAGCGTCCATGGTGGCAGCCAAGTGGCGGGGCTCAAATACACTTCTGATTCCGGTACCAGGGACACTTGTCCTCAGTATAAAGGCAAAGAAAAAAAGTAAATAATGCTCTGTAAACTCAAAGCATTT